TAAAAAATGCTCTACCATCTTTATGCCTTAATATTACCATCACAGCTAACGTATTTTTTGAACATTTGGATATAATGCAACAGCAATTTATTTATACGAATGCATGTGGCATAACTGTATGCTTTTACCCCACTACTGTACTGATTAATACCAGAAGGGTTTGCAACTTTAATGCTCCATTACCTTTATCTAGATTGCGTTCAAATATTCTGACAAGTGCGTCTAATTTATTTACATATTTGATAACATTCTACTTATTGATCACCTTGGAAAATGAACCTTAGGTTCTGCTCTGCGGAACTGATGGTAAAATGATTTATATGGATGGGGCATTACGAAGGCGCAAGAGAAAAATTTAAAGAAATATATCAAATAGAAACAGGAATTCGTAGACAAAAGTTTTATAAAAAAGCTAATACACAGCAAAGAAAAAATATGCGAGCAGTGAAAAGTAAAATAAGAGGCAAATTAAATGAATTTATTCGATAAAAATTTAAAGATAAAAATAAATTAAGATTGCCACCACTGACATATTACAGAATTCCGGGTTGTGAGTTTTCGTGGTGATCCGTATGACAGACCGTTACCACGCACGTTTCTACCACCTAGATCCATCGATAAACGCTTCCTCGTTCCTGTCGTCTTCAACCTTCGCTCTTACTAATTCTGAGCCCCTCGAATATATCTGTTACAATTGAAAAGCTTCAAATATTAGAACGGGAGTTGGGTCAGTTTATGTTTTAGTAGAGTTACGTCGTTTGCGCCTTACGTCATCTAATCAAACACTGTATTGACTTGTGAACAGTTGTTTTGTATCATACTTAGGAATTGCATAGCAAATAAAAACACTTTAGCCTGTTCAAGCAATGTTTTAAGAGGAGAGTGATTCAATGAATCCTCAAGACAACCTGTGCGACATTTGAGATGTGGCATAGAGGACAGCCATCGCCGGAAGCTCTCTAGATGAGCACCATCTTGACTCTGAACCTCGCCCAACTCCTTCGATGCTCGTTTGACTAGGATTTTCGATAGCGGTTCCTCCGGATTAAATAAAGTATAGGGGTATTGCTTCGACATGCCTTCGA